GTTTACTCATCACAGTTTATCCGACATACGATCTTAATGTTAATATTTAATGAACCCTTTCCTCACTGATGACCGATCTTATTCAGCTTCTATCAAATTAAAATGCAGTGATGGATTATGGGTAAACATACAGAAAACATTAGTATTTAAGACTAAATTTGAATCAATCGAGATATTCCTCATTGGAAATTACAAATATAAAATATATGCTACATTCGTTGTTAACGACTTCATCAGATAATATCAGTGGTCGCCATAATAGATTATTTATAAAAAAAAAAAAATTAATTATACGTCGGTGCGGTTAATGTTGAGTCACAAGTACGAACATTTTATATGTAGGCTTAAATGTCAAAACAAAGCGATTACTCTTCCAACCTCAACTGATATACAATCTACACTTATATATGTAATTGAAATTAATAATATAATCATGTTTTGCGTCATTATGTTAATATGTAATGTGTATAGACTACGAAAAAACTGTACTGCATCCCATTTTCATATTGACGTGGAAGATCCCATTTCTTTTATGCTGTAGTGTACATTGTGGTAAAAAAGATTCTGAAAGTTTAAAAATGTAGGAAAAAATAATCAAACTTAAATGCAACATATAAACGCAAGATTCTTACTGGTATTATATGTGCCTTAGTATATTCATGAAAACTGTTCACTCGTAAAGTATTGAAATTGTATCAGTTATGTTATTTGGATATGTTTATATAATAGGAACAAATAAGAAACGTTTCGCTTAATATGTTAGATTTATAAAAGTTTCCTGTTTGTTTCTTATCCTATCATTCTGTCGGATTGCGATCCATATTTGATCTGTATTTGATCCCATAGCTAAATCTAATATAAACTAATATTATAAACGTCATTGATGATAACAACAATTTTGGACATGTACTATTTGGGGGTGATTTCGGTGTTTAAGCAGAAACTTTAATATTATAGTATTAAAAGAATTTTTGGAATATTTGTAGAGAGTATGTTAAAATGAAAGATTCAGTGAAAAGAGATAGTTAAAGATGTAGCCTTCTCGGAATACCGAAAATAATAGGCCTAATTTTAATATTTTCAATGTTTATATATTTTTTTATTATATACAGTAAGAATATAATTAACGCTAAAATGTTTTTGATAAAAAGTTAATGATTTTAAATAATAATTTTCCTGCATACATATAATTTTATTTAAAAAATTCATAACGAAAGTATAATGAAGATACGTTTATTTAGGAACCAGTCTGTTTTGAACATAATTATAATCTTTATTTCTAACGAAACAGAGCTCGATAAATAAATATAGCCAAGATATCGACTTATATACTATTATACTTAAGTGAATTTGGCTGTCACGTCAGAGCAACGTTTTCAGTGGCGCGGTAAATAGTTATATATTATATAGTTTTAGTGATATCAGTGCAGATAATCATACGGTCCAAGACTAACAACGACGCTTATATATTTTCCCATCACGCAGAGAAGTGCACATTAAAGCGTTTAAGGATTGAGTTGGGTGGGATTGTCGCGACCAACTGCAGTGAATGTGTGAGATGAAGGGTGGTATCTTCGTCTATTGCACCCACCCGCCGGAATTAGAACTTTGGAGCCATTAACAAACGCTTGTCATCCAGAACGTATCCCCTTTTGATGGACTTGAAGTGTCACCACACATCGTCACTTAATAGCAGGGCAAAAAGCTAGTAACGCCAACGACATTTTAAGAATTATGAGATACCATGTTAAAACGAGGTTGATTGGCTTTTCCCTTTAAGGGATTTCAGGGGACTTCCGGTCTGTCAGCCTTCTTCGAACGTTTGAATTGATATTCATTGTCGGTTCTCGTGGTGCGACAATTGGAAGTTGCGTGAGTGCAGCTATGCAAATGGAAACTTCTCTCCTAAAAGTATCATGATATTTTAATTGTTTCTTCAACCGGTTGCGCGGACTTAACTTAATATGGACACACATTACTTCGCATGTGCAAACAAAAAATTTCCTCTAGAGTGAATTAGCCGGTAATGAGACGCCATTGTGTGAGATTTTGTAAACCATCACAAACAATACACAAGTTTTGTTTGAAACTTTTACTCACGATTATGAATGATTTCCAAGGCTTGCAGAATTTGGTCTTCTAATGGATTGATGAATTGTTTTGAAACTCAGTCTTTCCAGTTGTATATTCAACATACCCTTTGCTTTCGACCTGAAGTGATATAACCGTCTGTTCTCACTAAATAGACATTTTCTTTTCTGATGTCAAAAATTTCATTCAATGAACCATATTTTCTACGTTTCACACATTCAACAAGGGTGTTCAACATATCATCCTGTTATTTTGTATGACTTGAATTGATAAAGTTTTGAAATTTAACTTTTTAATTATTTAGTGATTTCATTTATACGTTATTTCCTTCTTTTGATGGAGGCTACAAGGAATAGATAGCGACAAACAATTTGGATTTTGAGTAGAAACCCGTATTTGAATTCCAGTAATTGTTCTTCTAGTGGAAAAGTTCTTCTTTTCTTATGTGATTCTTGAAATCTTATGCGATTCTTCGTCTAGATCTTCTGGTTTCATTCAGTGTTAAAATAACATTTTTATGAGATATTATGATTAAAAATGAATACTTGTCGATATTTCAGTAAATCAGTCTGTGTTGCTCAACAAGAAAGCTTATATACTCTAAAAAAGATCACAAACACAGCACACATTTCCTAGTCAGATTATCTAAATGAAAAACCAACCAGCGCTCACGCTAATATAGTCCTACAAAATTCGTCATAAATGTACATAAAGGTGACCATGGCAATCAATATACAACAAATTTTGTTTGGAACTTGGGCTTTCGATAATGAATGATCAGCAAGTTTTGTAGAATTTATCGAAATTATTAAGATTATCGAAGATCATTCAGTAAGCGAAGCCCAGATAAAAAAAAAATTCGTGCCAACGCTTCAAACGTGACCATGAATCGATGCAAATTCTCAATATCATTCAGCAAGTAGAAAACTGGATAATATTGAACGCATGCGCGTAGAAACATGTTTTCTCTTTTGGTTTTTATCACAGCAAAAAGACTGACGACAAATTTCGTTCGGATAAAACAATATATAAAATTGGTTAGCTTAAGGGTTACTATTTTTTCTAATTATGAATGAAATTGCGACAGAAAATTTTTGTTAGTGGATATTTTCCAACACAACTGTACAAGAGAACCATAGAACGGCTAATTAAAAGCTACTCATTATACAATCAACGAGTTAACAGCATGCGTTGAAAAATATTATCAACTATGATTCCTTCCAGGAAAGCTGTGGATTGATTCCCAATTATGACTCAGGATTGTATCAAGTGAACGCAACAAGCATTGTCATATCTAACAGAGAGAGTGGAATATTCCTTTAAGATAAGTCAAGACATATATGGTGTGCAGACGTAATATTTTTTTTGGATAAGTCAAGACAGTAAATAGTGTGCAGCTGTCATTCCATTAGGATAAGTCAAGATCGTATATGGTGTGCAGCTGTCATATTCTCTTAGGATAAGTCAAGATCGTATATGGTGTGCAGCTGTCATATTGCCTTAGGATAAGTCAAGATCGTATATGATGTGCAGTTGTAATATTCCTTTAGGATAAGTAATGATAGTATATGGAGTGTAGAGGTAATATTCCTTTAGGGTAAGTCAAGACAGTAAATGTTGTACAGACATGATATTCCTTTAAGATATGTCAAGATCGTATATGGTGTGCAGACGTAATATTCCTTTAGGATAAGTCAAGATGGTAAATGGTGTGCAGGCGTAATATTCATTTAGGATATGTCAAGATCGTATATGGTGTGCAGGCGTAATATTCCCTTAGGATATGTCTAGATTGTATAGTGTGTGCAGGCGTAATATTCATTTAGGATGAGTCAAGATCGTATATGGTGTGCATGCGGAATATTCCTTTAGGATATGTCAAGATCGTATATGGTGTGCAGAGGTAATATTCATTTAGAATAAGTCAAGATCGTATATGGTGTGCAGGCGTAATATTCCCTTGGGATATGTCTAGATTGTATCTGGTGTGCAGGCGTAATATTCATTTTGGATGAGTCAAGATCGTATATGGTGTGTAGGCGGAATATTCCTTTGGGATATGTCAAGATCTTATATGGTGTGCGGACGTAATATTCATTTAGAATAAGTCAAGATCGTATATGGTGTGCAGGCGTAATATTCCCTTAGGATATGTCTAGATTGTATAGTGTGTGCAGGCGTAATATTCATTTAGGATAAGTCCAGATCGTATATGACATGCAGGCGTAATGTTCCTTTAGGATATGTCTATATCGTATATGGTGTGCAGTCGTAATATTCCTTTAGGCTATGTCTAGATCATATATGGTGTGCAGACAAACGAAATATTCATTTAGGATATGTGAAGTTCGTATATGGTGTGCACACTACACACACTAAGAGTTACGCATTGATCTGGGTCTTTTCACTTAATCTCTCTGTTCAGTAGATATTTTTTCTGGTTCCATTGCCACTTTTTTCGATCTTTACTGAACTCTCTCAATTATTTTTTTCTGAGAAAGGTGATGAAATATTAATCTACGGTACGATGAACAATTCATATATTTCTAAAAATTCGATTTCATTGGTTAAATAGTAAGTGAGCTTAGATCTTCAGTCTTTGGTGGCAATCTGACTATAAATTCAAAACCGTATCGAAAAAAAGATTGATTTGTTTTCTGATGCTTGCCAATAATTAGCGGACTATTTAAAGACAGAAAATATTTTGAGATTGTAAGAATTTTATCGGAGGAAACTAATAATTGTTTAGTGATACAAATCTTGAGAATTTACCCATAGTTGTGGGAAAAGATATGGATCAATACCTATCTCAAGTGCATTTGCGCGGACGTAACCTCAACTGGAATTGGAATTCGGCTCTCCGACTAAAATTCTGAGTCATTAAATATTACACCACCTATACATCCAAGCATACAGCACCTGATATTCTCAAGCGGTCACCCATCTAGGTACAGACCATGGTCGAAGTTGCTTAACTTCGGTGATCGTATAGGAACCAGTGTTTCAATATGACGTGGAGGTAAGACTAGTATATTTACGAAGGAACCGTGGCAATTCACGGATAACAAAAAGTGACACAGTTTATGTAAAGACATGATTGCCTACATCATGTAAGGACATGGCATAGAAAAACATGTGGCCTTGAGCAATTTTTCATAGTTTCTAAGCATTATACGTTTTAGAGAATTATCTCTGTGTGTATATGAGGTCTTGAAAAGATAAATGGTTTCCTCATAAGAATTTAAAAGACATTGTCAGACACCCTCGAAAAAAGAAACAAAATTAAGTTCTGCAAATGTATTTTTGGAAAGTCATAAAAATGTCCAAGAAGAATTCAGTTTTGTATCTTACGACCGCAGGCCATCAAATTCTAAGAAGAAATTGCAGACAGCATGGCAAGAATAACGCCAAGCAACCATTCTACCAGAAAAATAAAATATATTCTATAACATGTTTAACGCTTGTGATGATTGGTAGAAATAAAATGTGAAAAAAAGAGAGAAAGAAAAAATGAAATAGGAAGAAACAGAAGAAAAGGCGAAAGTAATATTAACAAAGAGAGCATAATAAAAAAAAACAAATTCATGGTAAAAACAGGGAAAAGGAAGTGAAGAATAAATGGCAGAGGAAGAAGAATAATTAATTCGGCAAGACTTCAATTGGAAAGTTTGAAATCTTTCCCATTTCTTCTTTTTTTTTTGTTTATACAAAGATGCCACTCCAAAAATTACGCACCTTTCTTGAAGCTTACTTTTAATTCCTAGCTAATAAATTAAAATAATTTGCTGTGTTTTAAACCGAATCTAAATTGATTCGATTCTATTTTTCTGCATCTATGAATACAACGCACTTCGTTTTTATTTAAAAACTTTCAAATGTAAAATATACTTTTCTGGAACGCTTAGATACTTTAAGTTTAATTGCTACAAATATTACTTACTTTAAATTTTAAAATATCGTAGAACAGCATCTTTTAACACGAATGGGAATGTTTTTGTGAGGTGCTGATATATTTATCAACAGCTTGATGTTAGAAAAATTTAAATAAGGCGACATAACTGTAAAAATATTTGACAAATACAACGTTGGCAGCTTTTTATATATAATATACTAAGCAATCTAATATTTTGTTGCATTTTAGATACTTTGACTTTATAGTCTTACCTACGAAAACATTTGTTGGAAAATTTTAGAATATTACCGGTAAATATTAATGTTATTATAGTTCGCTCTTATTTTCTAATCATGTCCTGTATTGACGTCCGTATTAACAAAAATAGACACGTATATAAACAACAAAATATTCAAAATTTTGATGTCGTTCAATTTTATTGCGGTTTTCCATTTATGATTAATAAACATCGATTAAATTTAATATTATTAACATTTAAATGCTACAAATTAATACACAATTACAAAATATTTCAAAATTTATATTTCTAATTAAAATTTAAATAATGAAAACAATTCTAAAAATTACTTATTAATTGATTTTTTTTAGAACAATAGTTTCCATAATATATTTTATTCCTAAAATCAATTACAATTTTTCTAACTAAAAAAAAACAACAACAAAAATAACTTTAGTTTGACTGCGTTGTTATTTTACGTTTCAGAGCATATTTTCTGAAACTGCGGCTCCTGTTTGACGAAAAGATTGATGATTTAAATTCTCCAACGAATTATGATTAAAGCTAATAAACATTAATCCCTACAAAAATGAATTTCTCAAAATGTCATAAAATTAAATAGGTGGGGTGTAACAGATGTAAAAAAAGTATTTTTACAAAGAATTTCTAAGAAAAGAAAGATTTTTAAAAACAATGTCATTGATTTATCAATCAATATGACCTGAAGTTTTCACTAAATTTTGATTATTATCCGATTTTTCACGGAATTTCCAAGTCGATGTATTTTTCAACGTAAAATTTCGCTCAAAATTTCGGTACACATTTAAGGTGTTGCGTCGGCACAAAAGAAAACATTTAACCAAAATTTCAATATTTATAAAAAGGATAAAAAATGTTTTACATCAAAATTCTTTCCTCGTAATAATAAAGGTTTTCATGATATTTCTTTATTAACTTTTGGACATTTTTTCACCCTGTATTCATTTTCTTTGCGATTGTTTGAAGTTACTTATCTAAACTTCAGTAAAGAAAACTGAATATAAATTCAAATGTACGTAGTCATCTATAATATGCCTTATTTCTGCCCAGTTATGAAGTATTTTCACCTTGTATTTTCATTGTTATCTTCAAATATTTTATCTGCTAATTGTATACAGACCATTCTTTAAGATTTAACAGTCGTTAATCGATTCTATCTGCAGACTATTCTAGGTTCCAATCTCTCGATGTATTATAAATTGTAAACTAAATTGCATAATGTTGAATAATGTCCGCTGTACAATTGGATATCATTAAAATAGTAGGTAAAGTGATTATTTTTTAAAGTGGTATTTAAATAAGACCTTCATGTAGAAAAAAAAGTTTACGACGTAAATACGCTATTAATTTGAAGGCATGAATGATGACATGGGGAATATTTTATTTATCGATCTACTTTTCAGATTTATAATTATTGATTAAACAATTAGTATCAAATTCGAAGCAAATATTCTTTTTGACGCAAAAATGGTGCCGGATTTCGCACAGGCCAAGACTATTTTCTTTGATCAGCTCCAGTTTTGGGTTCACAAAAGATGAATTTAATTTAATCTGGAATGCCACTTTTGAGTTCAGAAGCAGGAAAAGTGTTCATTTTAAACCGAAATTAAAACTATATCTCGAATATCACGGTAGGAGCAATGACAGAAATTAGGGATACGAACCAAAATATAATCTACCAATGATATCAGTAGTTGATCCGTTGAAATACGCGAAAAAGGATTCAAATTCATATAATCTCTATCGACATACATATGGGCGAAAGAAATTCAACAAAAATAGTAATAAAGTGGAAGAAATATAATACAATATTATTTATGGCCTGAAGATTAAGTTGAAACATGACCACTATATATTTACATATGCACTATTTCTCATATTGGGACAATTTACCCATAAATATAGCACACGTTAAAACCTTATATATAAAACAGAAAAACAAAAACAAAAAAAAACTTAAAATTTAATTACAAAATTGAATTAAAATCCCTAGTACTGTTTCATTTTCAAGCAAATTTTGGAATTCTATAATTAAATTTGAAGTACTGGTTTCTGTTTTTGAAACATAATAATTCCTGTGTAGCGATGGAACCATATTTTTAAATTAGTAAATGTATAATATTTTATCCTCTGCAGAATTGTATTGAGCACTGTTTTTAAAAATAATTAATAAGAACACCGGATTATATGTCATACTGTTCTCTCTTTTATTTATATATATATATATATATATATATATATATATATATATATATATATATATCAGAGTCTATCTGATGATTGCGAAAGTATGAAACCCAGTGTCAGAAATTCATATTCATAGAACTGAATATGTTAGCTCTATCACTGATATTGAGCACTTTCCAATAAGTACTGTGCATATTAAATAATATATATATATATATATATATATATATATATATATATATATATATATATATCACAATATAGTTTTAACTTATGCTATATTTACGTGTTAAATTGCTCAATATAAGGGACAGAGATATAGATATAAATATATAGATATAGATATAGACATAGATATAGATATAAAAGTTGTTTCATTCTAAACGCAATCGTCAGTTCATGACAATTGCGTTCAGAATGAAACAGATTATCGCCACTATGTGTTGTCTTCAATGTCTGCGTTCATATTTACACCCCCTACCCGCGCGCACACACACACACACACACACAAATTATGCATTCCGACAGGTGATCCTGAAGCAAATACCCACGAAGCACACAACAACGAACATACAAACATCTGTCAATGCAGATTTTGAAATAGCAATCGACCAATCACAAACGACTTACTTCACTCCCACCTCTGCCATGACAAGACAAACGGAGGACAAACTGAATGCTCCTTAGGTCCAATACGTAGAAAGACACACACTCGACGAACCCTGCTTGACAGATAAGTAATATGAACTTGTTGCTGGGAAAGTATTTACATATTATGAAAGAATATTTCACTTAAGAAAGTAATAGGAATTATGATCAAAAACTATTTTCTTGTAAGACAGAGAAAAAAATACTTGCATTTACTAGAAAAAACAATCCGTCGTCGAGGTAAAAAAACGACCCTCTCTTCACACAGCGATCTTGGTCATCTCTTTGTAGGTTTCTGTTTTTTTTTATCCCTTACAACTCAAACAGCACGTTACTGCCTTAGAGCTCCATGGATTGGATCTTTTAATCCCTAATCCTTTTGAGGCTTTCTCTGCAGATTCTGAAATTGTTCTGATAGCCCTTCTCTTTTTTACTCCCTTGAATTCAAGTCCACTTAGGTTTCAGCATTAAGATCTTCCTGCAAAACCACGGCATCCGACTTCAATCGAAAGACAGTTTGTTCGCCATTGGTTAGACCTGCATTTCTCTACCAGTTCCTGGTTTTTGTTTTCGAGCTTTCTTTCAAAAGCCACTTCCAAATTCTCTTACCAAGTTACCGTAAGTGTGAGCATTACAACTTGCCTGGTGACAATTGACCAGATTTAAAGTCGCTATACTGTAGGCATTCTCTTGTCCGATATTCTGAAAATAAAGCATCAGTCAAGAATAGTGAAATACTGGACGTAAATTTAGATTTTACTCCCATAATTTTATAATATATGCGAGAAGAGAAAATAGAGTTAATTTGGGTAGAATATATGTTATGCTATATTTTGTCATTAAACAATGAAGTCATTTAAATCATTTGCAATTTAAAACATGAAAACGGTTACTCATTTAAAAATACATTTCCAAAGTAATATCAGCAATCGAGATCATTGCAAAGAAAACAAGACAAAGTAAAAAATATTGGATAAAAGATGAAATTCTTGACATGATGAAAA